GAAAATTCAGCTAAATCCTTTGTTAGTTAGATACTTAGATAAGTGTCAAGGATTTGGTTAAAATTCTGTTAAATCCTTGATAGTTATTGAATTGTCAAGAGGTCTTTGACAATTCAAAAACTGTCATGATTCTTTCTTGACCAGGGCTACAATGATAATTCAAAAATTGTCATTATATCCCTTCTTAATAGATAATACTTGTCAAAGAAAGGTTTTTTTCTTGTAGTGTGTTACTTGCAACATGATGTTTGTTGTTAACATCATGGCGCCATGGAAGGAATCAACGATAGACAAAGAGGGGGACCTCACTATTATCACTATTTACTTGCTCCCTCAAAATGGTGGGATAACCAACTTATCTATGCTTTCTTGGTAACCATGTCTTCGATAACAAATTTAGGAACCCTAATATTCAGCATTGCATATAACATCAGAGTATAATAAATAAAGAGAGGTGTTATTTAAGCACCACTCAATCTCTTTCTAAACCTTAATAGTTGATTTTTGTTTAAAAAAATATATATTTTAAAACTTGTAATTACCAAAAAGGGCATTTATTCTTTTAGTACTACTCAAATATTAGAAAACTCTTTATTTCTTAAAACCCTAAATCCTCTAAATTTTTTTAGGTATTTGAGGTATCTAGACCTACGTTAGAGATTAAGTAATCTTTAGGGCCACGAAACACCCTACAAGTCCAATGGATCAAGGTAATTGTATAAATGTGATAAGTATTTCTACTATAATTCGAACACAAGACTTATAGGTATAGCTAATTCCAATAGCTAAAGGGTTTTTCATCCGACCACAAGGAGAGATAAATCCTCTAAATCTTTTTTACACATTAGAATAATGATTTTAAGATTAAAAGTATTTTGAAGCGATGGAAGACGACTTCAATCAATGGAAAACAATAATAATGAAAATTTAATTTTTAATTATTTTTTTCAATTCTTTTTATTTGCCATCTCATATTTCTTGATGAAAAGAAAAAAAAAATCGTAAAAAAGTATGATGCTACACAAAGCTCCCATCGCCCTCTTCCTGTAACAAAAGTTTTTCGCTTGACAACTTTGAATCTAAATCCCCTTCTTCTATAGTTTGGTTTTTTGCTTGATAACTTTGGATTTGAATCCTCTCCTTCTGTCCTTCTATCAACTTTTATTAGTAAAAGAGACAAATAACGGACTGGAGAAGTATATATATATTGTGAGTAGGTTTCAAAGAGGAAATGTAGTGTTGAATGAATTGTGAATGCATTAAGATTTAACTCAAGCTATTAAAATGGCAACTAGAATTTCACCCTAGATTGTAGATGCAAAAAATCTACCGTCATGAAAATAGGGTATGATCCCGTGAGATTGAGACCACTGACAATCCGCTAGACCTACACACATGAAAGGACAAGCGTGAAGCTTTCGGAAAACACCGGGGTGGTGTTTGTCGTAGGTACTCTGACACTCAAGTCAGCGAGACTGAAAGAGATTATTTGATAAGAATTAAGGAGATGAAGAATTACCAGGAGTCCTGCCGAAGGCTAGGACTACGGTGGAGGAGTCGGGTTCTTGGGAGCAAGAACTTAGAAACAAATAGATAGTTTTGAGTATAGTAGATTGACTATTAGAGATTCCATGCCTAATGAGAAGGCAAACCTCTATTTTTATAGTGAACCTAACGGGTTGAAATCCTAATAGGACATTGAGTCCTCTTTTTTGAGAGATAATCCCTATCAAGAAAGAAATATGATCTTTTGACCTTATTAGATTAAGTTTAATAGTTTAAATAAGATTTGGAATCTTAATACGACACTAAGTCCTATTTAGGGAGATAATCTCTATCATGAAAGAGATATGATTTCTTCACCTGATCATATTAAGTTTAATAGTTTAAATAAGATTTAGAATCTTAGTAGGACAATAAGTCTTATTTTGGGAAATAATCCCTATTATGAAAGAGATATGATTTTTTGACCTTATCAAATTAAGTTTGATAGTTTGAGTAAGATTTAGAATCTTAGTAGAAGAGGAAATAGAAGGAGATTCTGATTTCCTATTTATAGACTGTTGCAGGTTAATGGGCTGAAACCCAGTTTAGCTTAATTTATAGGATAGTCCAACTCATAGAGTGGATAGTTCACAAGATGATTTTAAACGTATGCCCAATCGGGATTGGGTTGAGGCCTTGGGTCATGACATGTTTATTTCGTTATTAGGTCTCATCAAGCCCAAGGCGATTTTTGGCCCTAACAGTTAATATCGGAATAAAATATAATATATTTGTAAATTATATTTCAAAAACGATTTTAATAATTATTAAGAATTAAAAAAAAAAATTAAAGGAGTTTTTGTCTGAGCTTATAAGCTAGTTAAACTAACTTATAAGTTTTAAAATTAAGTTAACATGTTTGTTTATAAGTTCTTATAAGTTAAAAAAAAAAAGTGCCTCCCCCCAACTTTTTTTTTTTCTTTACTTATAAGCTAGTTTGACCAAGTATATTAACACATTATCTTTATTTAATTTTAAAATTACATAGTATACCCTTATTTAATGTAGTACCATTTTTAGTCATTTTACAATAAAATGTACTTATAAGCTACATTTTACCAAACACGTCAACTACTTATCAGTTACTTATAAGTATTTTAACTAAACACGTAATTACTTAAAATTTTAAATGCTTATAAGTTAATTTTTATAAACTCAGATAAACACCCCTTAAATAGGGTTTGAATAAGACTACTCCTTAAAAAGAAAACAAGTGTAATGGGACAGATAAAGACCGTCGGCCCATTAACTATTACTTCTTTGGAGTTGAGAAGAGACAGCACAACTACAGCTAGTCTCTTGTTACTGGGCTTGGCCTACTGCACAATGGGCTTACGGGCGTTATATAATTGGGCTTTTGTTATCCCTCTGGCCCTGCTCCATTTTTTTTCACTATAATCATGATGAGTTTAATGGCACCCCAACAACTATACTAAAAGAACACCACTTCTTAAGACACCCACTTTGTAAGTTTTGAAAAAAAAAAATTTCTATTATGATAACACCCACAAATTTCATGATTACTCTCTATTCCATCTTTTTTTTTTCGGTTCAAACCATAACCAACTTAATAAAAATGTACGCACGTAAACATGAATAAAAGATGAGATAACATCATAATAGAAGTAGTTACTAGAACTCTTACCCGATTGGTAATTCCAGGGTCTTGAGGGATCAGTTGAGGTATGCGTAAGTTGACCTTGACACCCGCCATAATAAAGAAAAAGGAAAAAAAAACCTAAGTAGTCCTTATAATATGTCTTTCTCACTTCATACATTTCTATACAAATATGGATAAGGAATCTCTTTATATGTGGGCTTTCAAACCTTATAATTATAACAGTTTTAAGGAAGGGATATAGTTCTGATAATAAAAGTTGCAAATAAATGAAAAGACGTAACAATAAGGTTACAAATAAGCATAAAGATTTTAGTGGTCTATTAATATTCATTAACATTATTTAGATTATTACAATCTAATATTTTGAGTTAAGAAAAATATAATTTTTTTCTAGAATTGAATTGTGAATTTTAGCATCTTATCTTATTTATTTCGGTTACAAATATATGGTCGACTGAAAATGGGCAATGTTTTAGCTTTAGAGTGGTATTATTTAAGTCCCAATAATAATTAAAATTGTTTTTAAAATGTAATATACAAATATATTTTCAAACTTATAATTACTAAAAAGGGAATTAAATATTTTAATACTACCCAAATATTAGAAAACTCTTTATTTCTTAAAATCCTAAATCCCCTAAATGTTTTTTTACAGGTTAGAATCATGATTTTGAGATTAAAAGTATTGTGAAGTTATAGATGATGACTTCAATTAATGGGAAACAATAATCATGAAAAAGTAAGCTTTAGTTATTATTTTTTTCAAATTTTTTTTTTTATTATTTTTTTTAATCTAGCATCTCAAATTTTTTGGTGAAAAGAAAAAATCATTAAAAAGCCTAATACCACACAAGGCTATAATCATCTCTTCTTATAAAAAATGTTCTTTGTTTGACAACTTTGAATCTAAATTAGGGGTAAAAAATGAGTCAGCGGCTCAAGCTCAGCTCGGCTTTGGTTCAGGATTAACTCGATTAGCTCGAATAAGTATTCGAGTTAAGTTTGATCACAGTACAACTCGACTCAAAAAGTTTGAAAAACTCTATTAAAACTTAATTAAGTTCAATTAAGCTCAATTGTACAAGTTCGAATTCAAAGTCAAATTCTAATTTCAAGTATTGAGTTCGAGTAACCAGATACTCGACTCGATTCGCCTTAATTTGACCCTAGTCCGATTCCCCTCTTATTTACTTCTATTAGCAAAAGAGGCAACTAACATAGTGGAGAAGATTAGAAGTATTTGAAATAAAATAAAAAAAAAAAAAAAATTATTGTGGGCAGATTTTAAAGAGGAAATATGATGTCGTTAAATGAATTATGCATGCACTGAGATTTAACCTAACATATTAACATGGCAACGGGAATTTAACCGTAGGGAAAAAAAATAGATGGTGGGGTTACCAAAGAGATCTAAGAAGAAAAATATTAGAGAAGGGTGATATTGGAACTTTTTAAAAAATTATTATTAAAACTTAGAAAGAGATCGACTGAGACTTAAATAACACCCCTCTTAGCTTTTCCCTATTTTAAAACCCAAACTTGATCCAACAATTAACTGAATCACTGAACAACTAATCTGGCCTTGTTTTGTTTGGGCCGGACCCCATAACCTAATGCAGGTCACCCAACGACGTCATATTTGGACTTACCATGCCCTTCGGCCTCGACAAAACTTGAGCAAATTCATTCCCCGTTTATAATTCAAAATCATTAATGACGCGACGCACCAACATGTGACCGTTGCCACAACGTTCCAAAATTCTAAATTTCAAAAAGTTTCTCCGACCTACTTACCGTTGCCAACAGCCCATTCAGTAAACACCCAACCAAATCCCCTACGCTCTTGTCATTCTTTCTTCTGCCAAGAATCTGAGAACAGTAAATTCAATTCGTTTGTGAGGTGCTCAATGTTTTACCTTAATCCTTCTCTCTTCTTTGACTTACTTGTTTTGATTTAATCACAAGGCTCCGCTGCTAAATTTGTTGCTTCAACTCATTATTCTTTATCCTTCTTGGATTTCTTTGTCAGAAATCTTGTTTTGTGGGCTTCTTGTTTCCTGGATCTTACAAAAGGTTCTTCTTTTTTACTCGTTCCCTTCGTGAAATTCATCATTTTTAGGTTGTATCTAGAGTTTGATCGTTGTTCTTGGTGATTCTTTCTGTTAAAAGGCAATGGCAACTCTAGCACCTGGGATTCTGGTAAAATTACTCAGTGGGATGAACACGGGACTCAAGCCCACAAGCGAGCACAGAAGTTCACTTCTTCAAGTAACCGATATCGTTCCAGCCGAGCTTGATGAGAAGAACCTCTGGCCTAAACACGGATTCTACATTAAAGTCTCTGATTCTTCACACTCTATATACGTCAGTCTTCCTTCTGATCAAGATGATTTTGTTCTCAGCAACAAGATGCAACTAGGGCAATTCATATACGTTGATAGATTGGAGCCAGGATCTCCAGTTCCAGTTGTTAAAGGTGCAAAGCCGCTTCCTGGCAGGCACCCATTTGTGGGCACCCCAGAACCATTAATGGGTCTGAGAGAAAAAGGAGAAAAAAGTGAGCAAAAAGCCAATTCAAAGGTTTCAGGTCAAAGAAGAGGATCTTGGGGACAAAACGGGGTTGATGGGGTCTCATCTCCCATGGTTCTGAAGCCAGTTCCTTTGGATTTTGATCCATGTACACCAGTTAAAGAGCGGCCTAGTGCTATTAAAACTATGTCACCGATGATAAGAGGGAGAGTAGCGAAGGATGGCAGTGTTAATGCTGGTATTAGGTGCTCTTTTGGTGGGGGACTTTTGGCTAAAATGGTGGATATGAAAGGAGAAAGTCCTGCATTGCTAAGGAAAAGTTGTGTTGCGCCTTCTGCTTCCAAGTTTCCAAGAAGCAAGAGTGTCTGCGAACGAGAGCCACGCATCCCAGTTAGTCCCTTCAACTCAGCTGTAGGTACATTTGTTCCTCAAGTCTTTGATAATTAAATTATGTGTTTCAATGCTCTGTTTCATTCTTTGTTCCTAAACATATGTAGATTTAATGATTCCATAGGAACTGCATCTTTTTACTTGGTCCTAAATTTTGTTGAGACTTGAGATATTGCTGTAGGAAAAGAAAAGTTCAACACCACCACCAAATTTAAGGAACGCAAGACCCATAGCTTCCCTAAATAAGGCCGGAGATTCAGAAAACTCGAACTCAAGGGTGGTTCCACAACCACCTTCTCAGTCTGTTAATTCAGCCTCAGATAGCAGCACCAGTCTGGCAAAGAACTTGCCAGGAAAGCTAAGCATATTAGGCAAGGTAAATTCGAGAATCCTAACACATTTTTATATTTGGCCTCTTTACGTTATTGTTTCTATGGCTCCTTTAGCTCATATAATGCTTAAACAGGAAGCTGTGCAGCAGCGAGAAACGGCTCAGAAGATTGCCCTTCAAGCACTAAGAGAAGCTTCAGCTACAGAAACGCTAGTTCGCTCTCTCAAGTATCAAATCTATCCTTGTGTTCTATTTTAAATTACAAATTAAAATTTTGAGGTCTGCTAAGATCAATTATATTGTTGTAGGTTGTTTTCGAACTTGAGCAAATCGGCAAGAGCGGATGCTCCAGCAGCTTGCTTTGAGAAGTTTATAGAATTTCATCAACAGATTGTGCAAGCAGTGAGTGATATGGTATCCATTCAGGCAGCCACTGAAATGGCTCAAAATCCAAAAGATAGAAAGCCTGAAGAAGAAGAAGAAGAATCACCAATCTTACACGAAATCAATAACTCAATGGACCAATCCCGGAACTCGGAATTGAGTACATCTAAAAGGCGATTGGCATTGTACAAATCAGTTTCTGTCTTTCCGGGAAGAGTAGAACAGAAGACAAACTTCGAAAAGCTCCTTAGATCAAATTCTAACACGAAGGCAAGTTCAGAGAGAAAAGCACCATCAACCCCACTTGGTAAACTTAACCTTGAAGCCATTGCTGAGAATGATGAAAACAGGAAACCAGTGGTATCTTGCAGCTTAAACCATACAATCAGATTGGGTAAGCAGATAGAAACTGAAGCTGGAAATTGGTTTATGGAGTTTCTTGAGAAAGCTTTGGAAACGGGTATGAAGAAATCAAAAGGCGCAGGAGATGCGGATGTTAAGAAAGTTCCTCAGTCCCTCATACTCAAAATTATTAATTGGGTGGAGGTAGAACAGTGTGATAGTAGTAAGAAGCAGGTTCATCCCAAAGCTGCACAAATAGCCAGGAAGCTGAGAATCAAGATGAAGAACCCTTGAAGGAATGATTTATCAAAGTTTTTTGATAATATTGTGATGACTTTCTGGCTTGATTTCTGTTGTCTAATTTTATAGAGATTCTGTACTTGTTGCCTCTTATGTATGCATATGTTATTCATATAGTCAATCATCTCTTGAATCTTGATTAAATTGCTCTTGATCTGGCATAGTTACTAACTGAAAGCTTATACCAGACGGTCATATTTAAAATACACTATTGAGTATTGAATTGGACTGCATTATGGGATATTACTTAATTTAACCACAATTTAGGGGGTAAAAAAAAAGACCAACTTTCACACCCTAAACTATACTATCCACAGGTTTCATTTATTACCACAATACCCATTTTTAATTTTTATACACACCCCACACTTCGCCCTTTTTCATCATTCTCTTTCAAATCATCTCATACCATATACACCGAATAGATTAATTCTTAGCTATGTAGTAAAGGATTTCAAAACTAAATTAAGGCAAGAGAGTTTACTCTTATGATACTATACCTTTTTTTTTTTGTCTCGTTGAGAAGAAGTGTTAAAATGTTGAACAGAAAACTTAGACCTTTGATGTTTATTGTATTAGGAGGACTAGAGTGATAAAAATAATGTTTTTTAAAGTTTAGGGTCATTAATGAATCCTTTCTAGAGGGAAAAAAGTCGCAAAAAATATTGTATGAAATAAAATAAACCAGTTCGAGTAAAGTTAAATTCTGATGTTTCAAGGGTATTTTATTCAAATTTTAAATAACAGGTTTAAGTATGTGTTTTTGAATTAGATAATAAGGTATATTAACCCAGTTCACTAATATTTCATTTAGTTTTTATTCGGTTTTGCAAAGAACTGAAACAACTCTATCAACTCCAAGTTATGAGTATTTAGCTAAATGGTCAAGCACATGGTTTGCTCTCGCAAGGCCCTCATGAGCATTGTACGGCCAAAAGTCTTATTTTAAACACATCTTAATGACGATGACATAAGATTGTTTAGCTAGTTTATTTATGTAAGGGGGTTTTTGGTCTTTTTATAAGGTGTTGATTAATATAGTTAGGAAAAATGTTACACTCACAACATCTTCTCATAACTCCGATGTGATAGTTTATAATTGGTCAGCTTGTAATTGGTCTCATCTGGGTCTCATATGATAAATTACGACTGACCATTTGTGAACTGTCACGTCAAGATTGTGAAACAAAATTTGTAAGAAGAGGTTGTATGTGTAATATTACTCGTATTATTAGAGTTTGAAAATGAGGTTATTAATTTTTTTATCCCTAAATTAAAATATCCCCTTAATTATTTTGGTTGACACATAATATCACTGAGTTACATACAAAATGTTTTAAATAAAATAGTCCATGGTTGTCAAATATCTATCTTGTATTTATTATTACTATTTTAATATATAATATCATATCAATTTGTACCAATTAATTTATATGAATTTGTATTGGTAGTATTTATATCATGGCGATAGGAAAAATGTTTTCAATTCATGGATATGATAAGAAGACAAAATTTATTGACTAAAATAAGAATTAAGGAAAAATTTGATGAATTTACAGGAAAAATGTACTTTTCTTCGGTATTAAAACATCGTATTCATTTTTTTAAGCATTTGGGCCACGCCGACCACAAAGCCCATAAAAAATTTCTCAAACTAAAAAATAAAAAAATATCAAATTAAACGAAAACAAAACTCATCTCTTCTCTCGGTTTCTTAATTAAAAACTGATAACCCGATTCATAAACACCCACATCGCAGAAACCCAACATTCCGCCTCCTCACGTACAAGAATACGTTGCCGCCACCTCAGATCTCTGAGCCGCGGACTTCTGACAGCCGGCGAAATTTATGTCCTTTCCGAAATCCGGTAATTTAAAACCCCTTAAACAAAACCCAAGATTTTGCACGCTGAAGCCCAACACGCAGCCAACGAAGTCCGGTCGCCGTCTTCCTTAGGTAAAGCTTCTCTTTCTCTCTCTTTTCCTGACTTTCTTTCTCTATCTTTTTTTCTCCATGTGAATATTAAAGTTTACATTCTCTGTAAACTAGGTTTCTGAATGTTGAGTGTTATATGACCTAAAATAACTAGGTTAAGTATTATTGTTGATTTTATGGTCTAGAAAGGGATATGCATTTCATATTGAAAGATGATAATTTGATTGCTGTGGTTTCAGTTGGGTTTCAAAAACTAATTAAAGTTTGAAACTTGTCTTCATGTAATTATTTTACACTTCTTGCTTATTTGTACTGGTGGGGGTTATGTTCTGGTATATAAGTAGCATTCGCAGTGATTAGTTTGTCTCCCTACCACCCCAATTAATTATATTTGAACATATCACCAATTCAGAATTGAATTTCGCATCACAGGATCTATATCTAGTCTCTCCCCCTCGATGGATCTTCTTCAAAAGTATGGAGATGAGCAAGAAGATGAATTAGATGAACCAGAAGATCAGGGCCAAAACCCCAGTACCACAGCAGTAGAATCACCAGACTCATCACCACCACGTCTCCTCCAGTCCAAATCATCAGCTCCTAAAGTTGATGACACCACACTGGCTCTAACTGTTGCCCAAGCTCGCCAGACCCAATCTAGACCTATTGACCCTACCCAGCATGTTGTCAGTTACAACCCCACCTACGATCAGCTCTGGGCCCCAATATATGGTCCAGCGCACCCCTATGCTAAGGATGGAATTGCCCAAGGCATGCGCAACCACAAGCTTGGTTTTGTTGAGGATGCCTCCATTGACTCCTTTGTTTTTGATGAGCAATACAACACTTTCCACAAGTATGGCTATGCTGCTGACCCCTCTGGTAATAATTATATAGGTGACCTGGATGTTCTGCAGAAAAATGATGGTATATCAGTGTATAACATACCACAACATGAGCAAAAGAAGCGAAAGTTGGAGAAGAAAAAGGAATCAGATGAGAATGATGATATGAGTGTTGATGTAGATCATGAAGAGGTTGATAATCCTGCGACTGATACTTGGCTGATGAAGAACCGGAAGAGCCCTTGGGCAGGTAAGAAGGAGGAGGTGCAAACTGAGTTAACTGAAGAGCAAAAGAAATATGCAGAGGAGTATGCAAAGAAGAAAGAAGAGAAAGGTAATGCAGGTGAGAAAGGGGAGCCTGTGGTGGATAAAACTACTTTTCATGGCAAGGAAGAGAGGGACTATCAGGGTCGGTCTTGGATTGCACCTCCCAAAGATGCTAAAGCAGCAAATGATCATTGTTACATACCAAAGAGGTTGGTGCACACTTGGAGTGGGCATACAAAGGGTGTTTCTGCAATTCGGTTCTTCCCCAAACATGGGCATTTGATTCTCTCTGCTGGGATGGATACTAAGGTAAAGATTTGGGATGTGTTCAATTCAGGTAAGTGTATGAGGACTTATATGGGTCATTCAAAGGCAGTTCGGGATATTTCATTTTGTAATGATGGGACTAAATTTTTGACTGCTGGGTATGACAAGAATATTAAGTACTGGGATACAGAAACTGGGCAGGTTATACGGACTTTCTCAACGGGGAAAATTCCATATGTAGTTAAGCTTAATCCTGATGATGATAAGCAAAACATTTTGTTGGCTGGTATGAGTGATAAGAAGATTGTTCAGTGGGATATGAATACAAAAGAGATAACACAAGAGTATGATCAACATTTGGGGGCAGTGAATACAATTACTTTTGTAGACAATAACAGGAGGTTTGTTACTTCAAGTGATGACAAGTCTCTTCGTGTATGGGAATTCGGGATTCCTGTGGTTATAAAGTATATTAGTGAGCCTCACATGCACTCTATGCCATCAATTTCTCTTCACCCCAATTCCAATTGGCTTGCAGCACAGAGTTTGGACAACCAGATTCTTATTTATAGCACTAGAGAGAGATTCCAGCTGAATAAGAAGAAGAGGTTTGCCGGGCACATTGTCGCTGGGTATGCATGCCAAGTCAATTTCTCACCGGATGGACGGTTTGTCATGTCAGGAGATGGTGAGGGTAAGTGCTGGTTTTGGGACTGGAAGAGCTGTAAAGTTTTCAGAACCCTTAAATGTCATGAGGGAGTTTGCATTGGGTGTGAGTGGCATCCATTGGAACAAAGTAAAGTGGCAACATGTGGATGGGATGGCTTGATTAAGTATTGGTAAGTAGTTTCTCATGCCAGATTAATATTTTCTCGTCCATATGGTTCATTTATGTATGTATTTTGGTCTGCTGGCATATATGCCTTTATGTTACCATTTTACTAAATATATGCATTAAGAGATATATCTGTTTTTACCAGTGATAAGATCCTTAGGCAGGTGCACTTGGCTCTAGGTATATAGTCTTTTTTTAAACTGTATGTTTGCAGTTATTAGTCTTATGTATAACTCATTTTTTGCCGTAGTTTCTCTGTTTCTTTTTCTTTTTTTTTTTTCCTTTCCACATGGCTTTACTTTCAATTTTTTGTCTTCCACCAAACATTCCTTCCTATATGTGACTGGATGTTTGAAGGAATTAAATGGTTTTTTTGATATTTGAATTGGTACTCTGTTTCCATATCCCTTCTTTATATGCTTGTTCTCATCGTTCAAAATTTTCTTCCATATTCAGTTGGAGTATATGTGCTGCACTGGTTTATATGATATCAATAAAGCACAGGCCTTTTCAGAGTTTTTATTTTTTTGACACTCAAGAAATACTTTGTTTGTTTTTACTCTTTTGAAGCCCAAAAAGAGAGAAATGTTACTTGGAATTTTCTGACCTTCTTAATATTCTGAGGATTACCTGTCTAATTTATTTTTACTGTTTTGGTAAACAAGCCATATGGTCTCCACACACTTTTTTCGCTTGAGCTCTGACAACTTGCATTGACCATATAAAAGAGAAGTGACTTTGGAAACTATGTATGTGATTTTATTAGTTATCCACTTATTGAATTTTATAACCATTGCATACCTTCCGGACCCCTAATCTAGGATCTACTTGGTTTAGTGCATTGGCACAATGGCAACATAACATAAGTGTCATGTACCCCTTCATCACCTCAGATGGATGGATTGGTGAAATCGCATCAATAAGCATTTTGTTTGTTTATTCATCTGCAATCTCTTAATATCGTTTGATGAATCTGACCAATATTTTGGAAGACTGACCCGTTTAATATTTGGCTTGCAGGGATTAGTTTTATTTATCAGCTTGAGGTCTTGATATGCTGATGTCATTGGACGAATCTGGCGAGACACAATCTAGTTAGCTGGAGAACTGAGGATCCAAAATTTATGCCGGAAAGTTGAATGCAGTATAGAGTTCCAGCTGAAAGATAAATGTGCTTAGTGAGAATCAAGAAATGTATAACATATTTGCACAGTAATGCTGGACAAACCATTCTACTCTTGAGCTCATTCAGTTGTTATTCAGACGGTGAAATTGTACTTTGTATTATATTTCTTTTTGGACCGTAATAGATTACATGATTTTGATATCAATGTATGACTGAGATGTTCCATTTCCAATCATAATCAAGATACAGGATTTAAAAAGGTAAATAATATTACAGTGTTGCACAATATTTCTCTATTTATTTGACAACGGATGCTTAATAAACCCTTCAGAGAAGAGAGGAGAGGGGCACCGAGCTAAGAGAGGAAGGTTGTTTTCTCACACCCGGCTCCAGCCTCCAGGCCAAAACGATGAAAAAGCGAAAGGCCCCTATACTGAAAATTGGCACGCCCATGAGAGAAAGCGTATCCCTATCTTAAACTTCAGATACTATTGAACGAGGAAATGACTAGCCAAGCCTNGTTTCCAAAGAATGTTGGTGCTCAATGAAATAGAATCCCTTATATTTACTCTGTTATATCACCGGAATGCTTGCATTTATTGGATTCTTCTTTCCCCACTGAAAGTCTCATTTTTACAAATAACATTCGTTTATTTTTCCTGTATTAAACTAAATTTGATCCCAAAATGTTCTCTAATTATGTGAAAAATCTCAGCTATGTGGTAACTGGTGAGACTCGAGGGTTGTTACTTGTTAGGCATGAATATAGCGATGAAAATATTAAATATACGAGACAGTCTAATTTGTACTGTGATATTGTCAAGTTAGGGCCCTGTAATTAAAAATATATGTTTTATTTTTTCAAAAGCTTCAACCATATGATACTAGGTTGACTGGATGGTTGATGTGCTCATATTTAGTCATGATGACAGCTAGTATACGTATATATGGAGGCTAATTTAACTGAGTGTGTGAGTCATTGCTTTTCTTGTTAGGAAACTGTGTTGACGGAAATGTTTCTCCACAGAAGAATTGAAGGTGCTGCTCAAGCGAATGAGATACCCTGAGCTTCAAGTTTGTATCAACTTTTTACAGTTTTTGTTTCACTTTTTTCCCACTTAATGAGCTGATTTTGTATTTTGGAGTGACATTTTGTGAATTTTAACTTGCTGTTAATGATGTGATGGTGTTTTAATGAGAATTATGAGACCAGATAATTTAGATCTTTTTGCTTTAGTTTGATGAATGAAACACATAATTGTAAGTTATGATTATGAGTGTGTGCTTTGACAGCAATGGGTTCAGTCACCTGGGTTTAGATCAGGTCAGGCTTTAATGTTGCGGAAGCGCCTCTATGGGAACATCTGGGCACATTGTATTGACAAGATGGAAGGTACTATCATTTGGTGGATAGAGTCTGTCATAGATTTACTACATATATGCGGCATTTTAATTTATTATGGGGAGAGTGTATCGGGTTCCTTCTTGTATGTCTGTTGGGTTTTAAGAATTGTATATTGTGTAGGCTTTAACAAGGATTTCAAGAAAATGTTGAATGAACATGCTGACTTCAAGGCGTTATCTTTGAAAGACATTTACACAGCATCTGACGGAACTAAGAAGGTAGAATAATTTGTTTTGTTTGCTTCATATTTTTTAGTTACTGTCCCTTATAATTGTCTATGTACCAAATATTTGACATGGATGTCACATATTTAGATTAGAACGTTGCATTACATTGAGAATCTTCTCATTGATTTGAAACGGTCATCATTCCATGTGATAGAGGTAGAACGACTGTCTTTGTTTCAAGTCAGGTGGGTTGTGCCATGAATTGTCAGTTCTGCTACACTGGCAGGCAAGTATAATATTTCACATAGCTCCACATTATGTGTTATTCATGGTTTTGTTCTCTCATATAAGGTTCATACCCTAATGTCCTTTTTTTTATTTATTTTTTTATTTATTTTTATTTTTTTACAGGATGGGTTTGAAGAGACATCTGACCACAGCTGAGATAGTAGAGCAGGCTGTATTTACTCAGCACCTGCCCTCAAGTGAAGTTGGTTCAATTTCAAATGTTGTGTTTATGGTAAGTGCACATTTGTTTTATAAGGCTACGTAAGTGCACATATGGAAACAACCTTTAAGTTTAGTGACGTTTTTTCAGTAGAGTGATACTTTGTTACAGGACCTGCACTGTACTGTCAGTATACGCTATTAATATTTTCAATATGGTTTCACGAGGTTTTTTTTCTCCTTTTTATATCAGAAACAAAAAGTTGTGTATTATTTTTCATGCACTGATGTCCACACTTTGATTGGTATTACCCCGTATATTTGAATTGGATAGAACAATAATTATTTTAGCCAAGTTTTGTAAAGGACCCCCTACCTTCTCTGATGTGGTGATTTTCTCCTCAAAACTGTTGTGAAGACAAGAGAATCAATTTTGTATTTATGACATAGATATAGTTTGCAATGATCAAAGGAGTTATATTTCTTTTGGCATGGTTTTCTAAAAGGAGTTTATGTGATCTTTTTATGATATCAGTAACTTTTTTCTTGTGTGTTGGTTGTTCAAACATGAACTTGTTAATCCTTTGGAGGACTGCAAGTACTCACACAAGAGGCACACCACTTATGTACACAGAGATAAGAAAAATATACTTGTAATTCAATAGACCTTTCAGTTTTTTTTTTTTTTTTTTTTTTCCAATGCCTTTTGCCTCAACTCTTAGCATTTTGTAATCATTAAATGCTGGTGAGAATTTCATCTTCTCTCTTGCTAAAACGGAGCTTCTAGATTTTCTGGTCTATCTAATTATATCATAAAATATTATGCGGGAATGGGAGAGCCACTTCACAATGTTGGACATGTCATAAAAGCTTCCGACATTATGGTGCATGAGCAGGGCCTTCCCTTCAGTCCTCGCAAGGTCACTGTTTCTGCTACTGGACTTGTCCCCTAGTTGAAACGATTTCTCCATGAGTCCAATTGTGCTTTTGCTGTTAGTTTGAATGCTACAACTGATGAGGTATTATATTTCCAGCTTTATTTTGATGGAACAAAGAAATAATGCGCCTCGATTGGTAGAGAGAGAGGATTGACCTTCTTTTGATGAATTATGCAGGTCAGAAACTGGATTGTGTCAATTAATCGAAAGTATAAACTAGGGTTGCTTCTTGAGACCCTTCGAGAGGAATTTCGTTTCAAACATAATTACAAAGTTCTGTTTGAATATCTTATGCTCGACAGGTTAGATAAACCTTTTTTTATCTGTACATTGATAATGGAAACAACAGTCATGTTGCTATCCTGAATTTTCTAGTTTATGTTTGTGATCCCAAAATTAGTGCAAAACTATTATAATGTGCAGCTTTGTCTGCCTGGGTCAAGTTATTTAGCTCATCATTGATTTATTGGGGGGTGGACTTTTGCAATAGAAATGCTGAATGCTTGTTTGATTGTCTTTGTCAGACAAATGTATATAACTCCTTAGGAGTGTTGACTTTCACCATTTACAGGTCAAGTAAAACCGGTTGTAAGGGGAAGGGGAACTGCTCAATCATCCAACAATCCTCCTAGACCATCTCAATGGAGATATCCAGCCCTAGTCTCTCCAGTTTTTTGCCCCTCTTTTACTGCTAATCCCTATCTAGTCGCTCACCCAGTTCAGCATACAACAAAACCACAGACTGATTCTTCTATTTCAGAATCAATTCAAGCTGTGCCTGCTCCCACACCACTAGTCCAGACAGCTCCTTTCCTTCCCAAAACACAGATTTTCTGTACCATATCCTAGACTGCTTTGACTTGGACTGCTCTTCCTCTTTCACCCTTGGCCAAGGAATTTATACCTTGTCATGTTGTGCAAGGTATGTCTTCTTCTTCGAATCTATTTTAAAAAGGTCCTTTCCCTGTATAAAGTTTTAAGTCACGGTACCCCTTGAGAAAATGTATACCTGATTAATATATTACTCGACCTCATCTGGTGTTTTTAGTGATTGCTGTGCTATTTTCAATCCATTATGGAACACTATAATAAACATGCATAAATTGGTTGAATGAGGGCTCTAAATCTGCGCAAGTCATCCATTTTTTTTATAGGTATATTTGTAATATTTTTGCTGGATGCTCGTAGGTAACTTTGGTCAATCTCAAACCACTGCTCCTATTCAGCCTGCTAGTAGACTGACTTCGCCTACTTATACCTTTGGTAATTAACATTTAGCTCCATGATCACATATAAATTTAGTTCAAATTTACTGTTTGTAATCATGATTTTTAAGTTTTACAATCATAGGTCCAGTAATTCCGTTGGTAAGCTTCCAATGTGCCAGTTCGACCAACTTCTAATAGATCTACAAACTAAGCCTGTCAATTTCGACCATCTTCTAATAGATCTGCATACAGAACCCGTCCAGTTCAGCCATCTTCTAATAGATCTGCATACAAAAATAGTCTAATCCGACCATCTCGTACACCACTGTCCCAGACTGATTTGTCAGACCTGCATGCTCTTGCACAAGCGACTAAGGATTTTCCAACCGATCACATGAAGCAAGGTATTTTTTTTCAGGATTCTAAGATCTATTTTTGTTGTTGACTTCCTTGAGTTTTGTAAATTTGCTTCCTCCCATACACAACATTTCTTCAATTTTAAGCGATGATATCCTTCTAATATACCCATATACTTTTTAGATAATTGAATATTTAAAAATTTTAAGCAATGATACCCTTCTAATATACCCACTGTACATTATTGAGAACTCGCATGGCAGCAAAAGGATCTGTTTTGGCTTATGTACCATGGTTTATCCATCTCCAAGCTAAGCTGGACCTCAAAATGCTTATTTAAGTTTGCCACAGCCAGATTTCCCATGCATGTGGATTTTGAAAATAAACAGTAAACGCTTTGTTGTTCAGAAAATCCAGCTAAACCTAATACCTCAGTGTGCCTCTTATGTTTGTAATGTTAAGGGTGATATGAACACTCGTCATTACAATAGCAATGACTGCAATTACACTTCTTTATGCAGATTTCGACAAACCTCCTCAACGAAGTGGAAGAGAGTGTTTCTTTTGCAAGAGGGATCTTTCATTCACACCAGAAGCTGATGGCCCCATTTCCCAGCCAAGTATTCCTCCATCTGTTGCAGTTTTGCCATGCGGCCACTACTTCCACACTCGCTACCTAGAGA